ACTGTCTGCCTTCATAAATGGAATATAATTAATATACACTACAGAGATGTTACAATAGTATAAAGCATGTGTAAAGAGTCAAGAACTAGAAGAAATATTGAACAAATGTGAGCTCTCCCTTTTCTCAAAATGAAAATTAACTTTTACTGATTAGCTAATTTGAATAAGCAAAAAAAAAGAGTATGAGAATGGGCAAAAATTGCTTTTATTCTATTTAATCCTACAGGAGAACAAAACTTCAAGTGAAAGATACAATTATAGCTTAAAATATCAACAGTTGGCTGATTCATTGAGAAAGATATGTGAGTGATTTTAAGGGTTCTCCTGACCTACAAGGAAACAGGTGGTGATGTTTTCATTAGTAATGGCCTTAAGAAATTAATGAAGATCATAGAGAAATATGGATTAAGAGAAAGAGAAAAATTAATATAATGACTTTCAGAAAAGGAAAATAATTATAAACAGAAGGGAGAAGCAAACTGGCATTTTCAAACCTTTGTTGGAGTGTTTCAAAGTGATTTGCTATAAAACTAAGAGCCTTACAAACTGTATACATTATTACGTATAACTCCACAGGTCTGTATAAAATTGTGTATTCTATGCTTCACAACAAGTGACTATTTTTCTGTTTTCTTTCTTTCTTTCTTTCTTTCTTTCTTTCTTTCTTTCTTTCCTTCTTTTTCTTTCTTTTAGATACTGGGGAATCAAACTCAGGGCCTTGTGCTTGCCAGGCAGGGACGTAAGCTACTGGATCATCATCCCAGTCCACGAGTGACTTTTTAAGAGCATAATGACCTGCAATTCTACTATTATAAAACGGTTACTATATATTATCAATTAAAATTGGTATGGGTTCTTCAAATAGACAATTACTTTTCAATGTTTAAAAATAGTGTTCTTATATATTCAGCTATCAAGAAATTCATGTTGTAAGCAAAACTGTCAGTTAAAGGAATTTTTTTAACCACTATTAATTTAATCTGATTTGAAGATTCAGCTGTTCTGCTTCTGACAAGATATACTTTTCATATAAATCCTATTCCCTTCCACTTTTGAAGTACTCTAACACAGGAAATTACATTTTCATATTTCTATTATCTCATAATCTTTTTGAAGACAAATATTATTAATAAGTTGTTTTTCATCTTATTTCACAATTCTATCTGAATTTTGATTAGAAGGCTATCTTTAAAAAATCTTTTAATCTTGAAAAGGTAACATGATTTTTTGAAAGCACTATATACTATCACCAACAATAACAAAAATAATAAAGGCTTCAGATTCTAAACTTTCACTTTGAGCTACATGTACAAACTGACATTACTTTGAGCTAGATATACAGACTGAGTAATGCCTCATGTTATGTATTTGATCCAGACTCACTGAATACTTTTGATGCCATTATGAGCTGCACTTTAATCCCTTTTTAAAAATAGATATCTAGTGCCTAATCTCAAAGAATCTGATTATATAAGTCCGTTTTTATTTTTCCAACCACCTTCACAGGGGATTCCAGGATACACCTCTTTAAAAATAACAAATATATACCACCTACATCTATCATGTATAATATGAAAACACTTGAAACAAGATTATATTTTCAAAGATTAATGATATTCACTATTTAAAAGTTGCTTCAAGGGCCGGCCAAATAGCTCAGTGGATTAAAGCACCTGCAAGCAGTCACAGAGGCCCAGGGTTCGATCCCCGGGCCAGAAGTGCCAGCCCCACCCGTGGGGCACACTGAGATGGCAATTGAGACTGGACATGGTGGTGCATGCCTGTAATGCCAGCTCTTCAGAGGCTGTAAACAGGTGGATCACTGTGTGTCTGATCTAGTAGTGAGACCCTGAACACCCTGTAGACCCTTCCCTAAAAAATACAAAAAAATAAATAAAAGTTGCTTCACCAGTAAAGCTGAAATTGTACATTTTACAACAATGAAATATTGTGAATCTCAAAAATATTCCTATTTGTGTAAAACTCATGTGACATATGGCAAAGCAGCTAAGTATTCAAGTGCATTCCAGTTAATACACCAAAAAGTTCCAGTGTACTAAAGAGAAAAATTAGCAACGTATTTTTAATAATTTTATTGAGAAACAAATAGCAATGAGACAGTTTCAAAACCAATTAGTAGGACAGTTTCAATAATTAATACATTGCATATTGTTGTCTTAGTGGTTATTCACTGTACAAGATGCAGACATGATATCCTGTCCACAAACACTATTAGAACAAATCTTTCGATTCATTGCATTAAGAGAAAGTAGCTGTATATCTATCCTAACTATTTTGAATATACAAATAAAAAATGGTCATTCATTTGTATCCCCTTTTTTTCTTTAGTTTTGTCACAGAAGGTTATTCCATTGTCATTTAAATATTGTAGGTGAGTGAATTCAGCTTTCCTGCTACAATGCTGTAAATAGTTAGATGTCTCAATTTCTATGTAAAAATATATAATTTTTTGTTCCTATTTTTTAATTTTAACTTTTTCTTCATATTCTGTAGTAAAGTATTTTTAGAGATCTATTTTCTAATGTTTTTCATTATTCCATACTTACAACTATTTCCACAAAACATACCCCAGAGTAAAATAATTATTTTGGAAGACATATTATGATGTATAAAAAATAAGATGAAAATGTTCTCAGAAAAGTATTCCAACATTTGATTATGATAACCCAGTAGGAAATACAGAATACACTGCGAAATTTTCTAGGAACTATATAATCAAATGAAATAAAATACTTTTGTTCTTAGTTGAATTATAAGGTAGACCATGCTTTAACTGTCAGTGTTACAACACAAAAAAATCCTGTTAAAATATGAAACAGTTAAAAATATAATTTTCTTCTTCCTTCAGTCTAAGCAATTTACTTGAACAAGTGAAACTGATATTCACTTCTCTCTCTCCACAGCATTGAGAAGTAATTAATACTAAACATAAAGTATCTGTGAATGTATGAGAAACTAAATATATACACTGGACCAAGAACGACAAGCCTTCCAGAGTTTTCAATAGTAACCAACACGCTGCACATCACAGCATGCATGTCACAGGTCTGCCACCACTGCTCTAGTCCCAGTTAATCAGTATGGTAGTCAAGTGGAAAGATTACCACAGTTTTAAAAATTACAGAAACTAGGTTTACCACTTACTGCATACATGAGTGTGAATAAGTTCTCGCTATTCCTATCTTTTTAATCTTCTTAAATGAGGAAAGTATCATCTTGTCACGAACTTAGAGAAGTTATAGATTTTGTACATAAATCCCAGAGACTGCTTCCTAGCACTTAGAAGGGATTTAATAAATAATAGTAAGATGAAGATTTTTGGCCTACAGTTTGAAATTGTTTCCCATTGTAGGCTAAAATTAAATTTGCTATGGTTTCTTTAAGTAAGAATTCAACATCTCCTTTCTCTATTTTTCTGAAACAAAACTCTACTTTTTTTAAACCTCTGCTAGCTTTTCTGACAAATTTAAAATATAACTTTAAAAAATATGGAATAAAAATAAATCCCAAATTTTTCAACTAATAAATAGTTTTTGGGGTTTGTTGTTAATGTTGTTATTACTGTTACTTTTTTTTGAAGCAGGGTCTCACTATGTAGTGCAGTCTGGCCTTGAACTTGCTCATGTAGGCTGCTCAAGCTGGCCTTAAACTCACAGGAATCCTCCTGCCTCAGCCTCTCAACTGCTGGGATTACAAGCCTGTGTCATCATGCCCAGCTTAACTAAAAACTATCTCACTCTTAAATTGTTTCTTTTTTTTTTTTTTTTTTTTTTTTTTTTTTTTTTTTGCAGAACCGGGGATTGAACTCAGACCCTTGCACTTGCCAGGATTCTCCTGTTTTCAGCCTCCCCAGTGCTAGGATTACAGGTATGTGCCACTGTGCAAGGTCTTGGTGGCCAGTTCATT